AAGATTCGAAAAATTATATTGGAAATAAATACTTAAAAAAAAATAAATAGATTACACATTTTCAGATTGTCCCCCAATTGATTGTCACTGTTAGAGTCGTAACAAAGATTTTTATCAAGATTGCAAGGAAAAAAACATTAAAATTCGAAAAAGATCCTATATTATAAATAATTACCTCGATTTTATTACAATTAAAAGTTCACAAAAATAGCAATTTTAGAATTAGAGAATTCTTCACTATTCCATGCGTTATTCTGTCTCACGACTGGTTCGACAAAGCTTCAGAGATTAAGGTCACGCCGCAAGGTATAACTTTCAGTTTCAACAATAGCAAATAATTAACACCCGTGTGCGAATCGTTACAAAGAATAAGTGTCAGCAGATATTCAAACTTCAAACTACGATCAAAACACGCTTATCGCGCGCAGGATAAATACGCATATTTCGCAACAACTTAAACAGTGCCGTACCACCACGTTACATCGTCGACGATGGCCTAAAAAGATTTATACATATTTCGCCCGTCACACTCGTGCAATCGAGAATAAAGCTACTGTCGTCGTTAACCGCGCTATCTAAGATTTTTTAGCCAAGGGGTGCTTTTCATTTGATGACACAAGTCAACACGAGTGTCGTTCCATCTTTGTCACTCTCTGAATGTCAAAAAAGGTAGAACAACGCTTGTGTCGATTTGTGTCGACTTGTGTCATCAAATGGAAAGAACCCAAGATTTCCTCTCAATTTTTTCACTATTAAACAATGAGATCGTTATGTCTTTTTTTTACTCCGAATCTCGTGAAATTTTTTCTTTCGCGTATTCGTGCCGGAATTACGATGATTGCAAATCGAAGATTAGAATTCGATCAATTAAATAATTTTAATTTTAATCTGTTTTATTCTAATTAATTGAATTTCTAATAAATTAAAAATTAGAATTTAACTGAGCAGGTAATTTTTATTTTAATCCGTTTCTTCTTGAATTCTATAATAATTCAACCGATTGAATTATTATAGAATTTGACCAGGTAATTTTAATTTTAATCCGTTACATTCTAATTATTTGACTATTAATTAGAAATCAATCATAGAATCGAATGAATTATAATTATTTGTGATAACCGTTAAGTTCTAATCTTCAGTTCGCAATCTTCAAGTGCGTTTTCTAATACGGATTTTTAACGATGCGTTTTTGCTCTTGTCAGCTTTCCTGTGCTTTGAAAACGGAGCGAATGCAAGCTACACTCTCGCGGAAGAGGAGAAAGGCAAGGTGGTCATGAGGAAGAAGAATGTGCGAGTGTGCGTGACCAAGGAGGAGACAACTTTCAAAATATCGGGCGAGCTGGCGGAACGACGTTCGCGTTTTCGCGACGGAAAACTATGTTAACTAACGCGCACCTCCGTGAAATTCTCAGAAGCGATCGCAGGGACAAAAGCCAAGGTAGCCGGTCGAGGGTGAGAAGAAAGGAAAAGCGATCTCATGTATACATCGAAGTTCGATATCGCTACACCAGTCCGCTTCTCCCAAAGATAATGTTACTGATTTGCGAGACGCGACGCGACAAGGCCACGAACGTGTTCTGTGTATTTGGTAAATATCTGGCGCACACAGGTGCTCCACGTCGGTGTGTATACATATATACGCATATTTATACGTGCATCAACGACGCAGTATCGGTTGCAGATAGGGAAATACACGGTGCACTGCGGCACGTCGATCGGTGTGACACGATTGTCCGTGCAGTACTATCGACCGTGCGGGGGGGGGGGGAAGGGAGGAGGATGCGCTCTCTCTCTCTCTCTCTCTCTCTCTCTCTCTCTCTCTCTCTCTTTCACTCACTCTCTCGCTCTCTCATTCTCACGGTTTTGGGAAGACTACAAGAATAAATGGCAGATCGTTTACCGTATCACCATTGTGCCACTCTCCGCATTCGAAAACGACTCTGCTCCGATTTCCGGCAACGAGAACGGCGACGAATTATGATTGAGAACGTTTTTCCGCCTTCTCCAACGAATGTCCGAATATCTTCTTGTTTTTCTTCTAGTCCCTTTTTTCCGATCCACTGAGGAAGATTGCAACGCCACGATCTAATTTGAACCAAGCAGTTTGTCTACTCGAGGAAATAGGAAGCACCACTTAGATTTTTCCTTTTCGATATAACGTCCAAAATATTCTCTGCCGGGAGACGCAGCGGCACTCTTCCACCTTGCCACTCTTCTTTTCTTTGACGAGAAGTTCTCCGATCGCGACGAGATACTGATGATATGTACGTTAATGAAACACGCATCGCTCTCCCTCTCCCCGTTCACTGTCCCAGCCTCGTCGGATCGTCGCAATCTATCGTGTTTACTATGAGCGACGATGACAAAGACGGCGACGGCGGCACCGACCACGACGACGACGACGACGGCGACGATCCTCGGGCAGGACAGCGACCCATGATCGCGCGAGAGTTACTCGAGTGTCATATCGATTACCAACAATACCAACACCGAATTCCGCCTCGCGACACCTTTTCGCGTCTGTCTCTAACTTGCTCTAATTTTCGCAGTGTTATTTTCGCACTTCCCCCCCGTCGAATCCCACTTCGATCGTCGCTAATTGTATATACGTTTGTCTTGCCCGTCGCGCGACAAAGCAATAGCAGCGGAGTCGAGGGATGATAGTTGACGATAGTTGTGTCTCTAAGAAGTACACAACACAAGTACGCAGCAGTACGCAGCCACGCACACAGAACACAACACAAACAAGACGCACCGACGCACCAAGGCAATACGTTGACGAAACTTCCAACGCAACGCCGACGGCAAGTGTGAGCACTGCAAGCACGAGCGTACATACACCACGACGAATCGCGAAAATGCTTCTCCGAGTTGCGCGGACACGCGAGATTACGTAAAACGCGTTGCTAGAACAGCTGAATTGTTCAGAGAAATAAATGTGACGAGCGAGAAGATCGAATTACCACGATCCGATCCCACTCGATTTCATTCGATTTGTTCACACGTACATACCACAGACTTCTATACATACTACTAGACTGCTAACTCCTTAGTAGTTGGTATGTACATGTAAGCCATGAAAAAATGCATGGTATAAAAATATATGGTACTCCATTGCGCATAATGGCTGCGGTCCACTTGACGCTACAAACGCTTCGAAATATTCTTTGATTAGTCAATTCGTAAAATTCTTTGTTCTGATTGGTCGCTCAAACGCTTCGAAGCGTTTGTAGCGTCAAGTGTACCGCAACCAATGGCGGCAAACTAAATCAGAATCACCAGTCAAATGTTTGCCTTAGGCCGGAATCAGACTATGCATTGAAGATTGAGATTGAAGATTAAAAAA